CAAACCAGGGATATTTGGGTCTGGGATGCTGCTCCTGGCACTTTGGGGTCTGCAAAACTTCCCAGCCACCTCCTGGGTTTTGCAGTGCCAAGGGGATTGCACCGAGCCCCTTTCACAGAGCATTCAGCTCCCTCAATGCTGCCACAGCGTCCAACGTGGGGCTGGGGGTCTGTCCCACCGGGAGCATCCTCCTGCCCCCCGTCATCGCTGTGAAACTCATCCAGGGTTGGGGGATGAGGGACTGACCCTGGCTTTTCCGAGGCAAGGTGGGCGGTTGGAAAGGAGCCTCCCGAGCGCCCTGGCCGAGGGAGGGGAGCCCAGCCGAGCTGAGCAGGCAGGTTCTCCCGGTTTCTCCCGGTTTCGCAGGCCCATGTAACCTCACCCAGCGCAGTGACTCACGCGGGGGGGCAGGACGGGGCACAGCTCTCAGCACAGCCGAGGGGAGCAAAGGGCAGGTAGCCAAGGTGAGAATCACCCCTCTCACTGGTCCCAGTTTGCTGTTCATCCTTCTGCTCCTTTGTCCCGCGGAGCAGGACGTGATGTTTCCAGGGGCAGCAGGGAGGTCCCTGGGGGTGGTGACGCCTCAGAGTCACCTTTGTGCGCTGCGATGGGTGCAGACGGGTCTCGGCCACCTCGAGAGTTCTCTGGGCTGCAGGGGGAACCCTGTGTACCAAGGGATCTGCACAGGGTGGGTACAAACAGGGGGGCAGGGGCTGTGTCAGGTGGGGATGCCTTCACCTGTAACTGGCACAGGCAACAACCCCTCACGCTCTCTGCTGGAGATCTCCGAGGGAGATCCAAGGCTGCATCCAGCACGGTTCCAGAGGCACGTAGGTGGAACAAGGCTGGTTTATACTGACTGAAGCCTTCAGCTGTTAGAGCAGGGGGTGTCTGAGCCCACCCCAGGAGACCATCAGGCAGGTGGGGGGCTGCCTGCCCTCCACCCCTCCAGACCCACGCTTCTGCTCCACCAGGTTTCCGGGATGTCCACCTCCAAGCTCTCCTTGGCTTCGGGCTCCTGCTAGCCTTCCTCAGCCGCTACGACCTGGGCAACACGGCCATCAGCATCCTCGTCGTGGCCTTCGCCATCCAGTGGGCTGTACTGATCCACGGGTTCTTATACTTCTTCCTGAATGGCAAAATTTTGGTGGGAGCTCAGAGGTAAGGCAGGAGGGAGCTGCTGCCAACAGCCGCCTCCCAGGTCCAGCCCTGGCACGCTGGCTCCCTCCTCTGTAAAACTCGCGGCTCTGCTGTGGAGAAGGATTCTGAGGTGAAGTAGGAGCAGGGTTATTTGAGTACCGCACTAGTAAGGGCTGTATAAGTACTACCAATAGTACAGACAGTTTAGGGGGGCACGCTGGCCCCCGCCTGCCTCAAGCCCAGCTGTCCCTTTGTCACTGACATCTCAAGGCTTTGGCTGACCGTTCAGCTTGCGGTGGGACACAGGGTCCGGGCTGCAGGCTCAGCTCCCATCCCCCCCAGGCCCTTCCAGGTCCCATGCTCACCCCCCTGGAAGCGTTGGGTCGAGCCGCACACGTCCCCTCTCCTCCCCAGCATGGTGAGTGCCGACTTCTGCACCGCAGCCATTCTCATCGCCTCCGGAGCCGTTGTGGGCAGGGTAAACCCTGTCCAGATGCTGCTGCTGACCCTGCTGGGAGTCACCCTCTTCACCCTCAACGAATACATCCTGCTCAGTCTTATGGGGGTGAGTCACCTTGGGGGGGCACCAGAAAGGGGTCACCTCCTCATGTCAACACCTGCCTTGTCTGTAGAGACAAATCCCACCCACACTCCCCTTCTTGCACGGTGGTTCTACTCCCCAGATAAGCGACAGCGGGGGCTCCTTGACCGTCCACACCTTTGGTGCTTATTTTGGCCTGATGGTTTCACGGATCTTGTACCAGCCCCACATGGACAGGAGGAAAGAGCAGCAGGACACGGGGCACCGGCCGGATGTCTTTGCTGCGGTTGGTACGGAGCGCGAATTCTGCAACACCGGAGTCCCAGACAGGGCGGTGGAAGGCCCCATCAGGGCAGCGTGGCTGTGGCTTTGAGCTGCTGAGTGCTGCAGGCTACCAAGGACGGGGTCCTCCCCTTCCCTGGGGACCTGTCACGGGGCTGCACCACCCTCTCCAGCAAAAAGCTTTTCCTCGTGTCCAGCCGGCACCTCCCACGCTCCAAGCTGTGGCTGCTCGCACCCCTTGGCACCAGCAAGAAGTTTCTTTCCCACAAGGAGTCAACCCCAACACCAAAACCTGCCTGTTCCCCTTCCCTGCAGGAACCATCTGCCTGTGGATCTTCTGGCCCAGCTTTGCCTCAGCCACCACCGCCTACGACAGCACCGAGCCCTGGGCAGTGCTCAACACCTACTTCTCGTTGGCAGCGAGCACCATGGCCACCTTCGTCCTCTCGCCCGTCCTCCATGAGGAGAGCACCCTGCGGATGGTAGGTCCTCTCTGGGGACAAACCCCAGTCTCCGGCACGGCCCACGTCCTGTCCTACACGGACAGCGAGCCGGAATACACCAGGACAAACCCATAGGTTTGTTAAGATGCAGTTTGATCCCCAAGGAAGCCCAAATTCCCCCCCAGCCCCTTGCTGATGTCCCACCACGGAGCCAATTCCCCCACCATGTCCTGCTCCATTAGGTTCAGATCCAGGATGCCACCGTGGCTGGTGTGGCTGTGATGGGTATGGCCGGGGAGATGCTGGTCACCCCCTTCGGGGCCCTTATTACAGGGTTTCTGGCTGGTCTGGTCCCCCCTCTTGGCTTCAGGTTCCTCACAGTGAGTAGCCTCGGGACGGCCGAGGACACCTGGGCCAGGGGACCACCCCGCTTTGGGGGAGGCTGCGTTGCCAACCTGCGGCTCCCAAACCCACAAACATCCAGCAGCAGCGCAGCCCGCCCGGGCAAGCATCCCACCCCCAATCCCGGCTCTCCCTCAACTCTCCCCCCAGCCCGTCCTGCACTCCAGGCTGAAAACCCTGGACACATGTGGGGTGCACAACGTCCACGGGCTGCCGGGGTTGCTGGGTGCCTTGCTGGGGGCGCTGCTGACGGTGCTGGCCACTGCAGATGCCTACGGTGGCAGGTGAGAAGAGCCAGAATTAGGGGTGTTGGCGACTCCAGGCACCAAGCTGGGGCCACCACCCCCCCCTGAA